CACCTCTAGTGTTAGAGTTCTTTAACCTTTGTTGTATTCTTAGCCGACGTACCTGAAAAATTAATCCGGATTTTAAGAAGCTATTTGAGAGTACAATCCTTGGGAAATAATAAGTTGTTCCTTTAAGTTCCCTTAGAGGATGTTAAGAACTTGAGAAAACTCACCTCTTCCATAAGGAGGAAGATTTTGTTGCGCCTGCTCCTAATGTTATCCTGGATTTCTTGAAACTGCATCTGACCAAAATCTTGAACGGTCTCGGGTCCTTCAATGATGCAGAAATTACTGTAAAAAACATGGACCAACATTAGTTAACTTCAAAAGAACACAAGCTTATAGATTATGAGTCAAATAACAGAAAGCAATATACAATCAATCAAAGCTTATAGGAGTCCAACACGAGCGTATGCTGTCTTGGATTTCTTCAAACTGCATCAGACCAAAATCTCGTATGGTCACTGGTCCGCAAGTGATGTACAAATCATCATACAAACATGGAGCAACATTAGTTAACTTACAAAATACAAGTTTATAGATTAGGAGTCCAAAAATAGCAATCAATATAAACTCAACAAGCCACTCCTCAATATTAAGGAAGTTGGTCTTAGCTATATGAATCTTGTGTATCCGTTCTGCTCTACGCGTTTCCCAACATCCAAATGAGTTCAGTTGTGCAGACAATTTATACTAGTTAGAAACTATCTTGTGCTGACCTTCAACCTATAACAAGTCAACAACCCTACTCAATGACCCTGACTTGAGACAGGCTATACTCTACAAAGTTCCCACTTCCCATACAACAGAGTCATCAGTCCAAAAACATCATTCTAAAGCACTTCATTGTAGCAAAATACTTCATAATGATCTTCTCCGCCTCAGGAACCTTAACTATCGCAACTTGAGTAAAACAATGCCATTCAGTAAAGGTAAAAGTTCCTGCACCAAATCTCCAATAAGAACCAAAAAGGATGTTAACCAGATGCTAAACTTACAAACTTCTTAACATTTATACAGTTCCCGTTATCCCGTATCATTATTTCAGCCATATACATGATCATGTTACTGTCAAAGGAGGATTAATCTGCCTCAAACCCACATGAGTCGAGAACTTCGAGAACTCATCATAGTTAGTAACTACTTTTTTGCTGGTCTTCAACCTATAGCACTCCCCATTTACACAAACTAAAGACAGCTACGCTACCAAGTTCACATACAGCCAGAGTAATGAATCCCGAAAACATCATTTTAGAAAAGCTATATGTAGCAAACTACTTCATAATGATCTTTATCAAATCACCTACCTTAACCTTCAGAACTTCAAGCAAAACCATGAAAAAAGAAAAAAATTCCTTGAAACCAAATAGTAAAGTTACAAACTTTTTAAATATGGATACAGTTAGAAAATCAATATAAATGGACATATTAAACTTTTAAATGAGTATTTTGCCATGACTTGTTCACTCCTGTTATTTTTTTTTGTCAACCTGCTTTGGAAATTTTTTAGCCGAGGATCTATCGGAAACAACCTCTCTACCTCCCAAGGTAGGGGTAAGGAGTGTGTACACTCTACCCTCGTAGACTTCACTTGTGGGTTTGGACCCTCTTTTTATTATTGCTGATGTTGTTATACCGCCTCCCAGCAAGAGGCTAAAGAATTCGTCCTTTCCCAAACTCAACAAACAAAAAACTTGCCCAATATCTCAAACCAAACATAATTGTCAAGAGCAAATCAACACTAAAATACCAAATTAACAAGAAATTTGATAACCTAACGTTGGATTATTATCTCCAAAAGTAAGTTAACTAGATGGTAAAGTCACAAACTTTATCAACATATATACAGTTTTAATATCAATATTTCATCCATATACATGGTAATATGAAATGAGGATCATTCTACCTTAAACTCCAACAGATAAAATTTCCAATTTCTAAATCATGCCACACCAAAGAATTTACCTTTACCAAACCCAACAACAACATATCCGTGTAATCCCACAATGTAGTGTCTCGGAAGCTTAGAGTGTACGCAGATCTTACCCCTACCTGTTGTTCTAAACTTACAAACTTTATCAACATATATACAGTTCTAACATCAATATTTCATCCATATACGTGATAATATTAAATTGTCAAATGAGGATTATTCAACCTTAAAATCCAAAAGACAAAAAAATTCCAATTTCTAAAGCTTGTGACACCAAAGATTTCACCTTTACCAAACTCAACAACAACATACGCAATGTATTCCCACAAAGTGATGGTCTAGGGAGAGTGTACGCAGACCTTACCCTCCTTAGACGAAGAGAGGTTGTTCTAGACTTACAAACTTTATCAACATATATACAGTTCTAACATCAATCATATACATAGTAATACTAAGCACTCAAATAAGGACTAATCTACCTTAAAACTCCAAAAAAGACAAAATTTCCAATTCCTAAATCTTGAAATACCACAGAATTCACCTTTATCAAACTAAAAACTACCCAAACATAATCATCAAGAGCAAATCAGCACCAAAAATACCAAACTCAAAAAAACTTGAGAACCAACAAGAAAATTTTGAAAATCCCAACCTTGTATTACTATCACCAGAAGACTCAAAGCCATCCTTAGATGAAGAAGAACAAACAAACTGAGTTCTTGCTGTGTATTTCAATAAAGATTGGTTTTTTAGAGTTGAACTCAAAGAAGAGCTAAACAAAACATGGGTCTTTGAGGAATCAAGCTTAGAAGTATGTATTAATGGATGAAAACAAAAAAAGATAGAACCCATCTTCACCCTTTTGAGAAACAAAAATTAAAGAATAACAGCAAAATGAAAAGATTAGAAGATGGGTTTTTTTTTGGAGGATTATATTGAGAATCAAAGTTCTTTATAAGAGGATGATGATGAACTTGCTTTATCTAAAGATTGGGCACATAAACTCATTTTTAGTATGATAAATGACATAAATTTTTACCAACATTGAGTTGTGATCGAACCGCGTGGGCATTCGGTAATTCGGTTCGGCTTCGATTTTTTTAAATTTTTTGGTTTTTGTACAACGTATACCGAATACCGATCGAAATAATTCAGTTTGGTTTGATTTTTATTATTTCGGTTCGATTTATATTCTTTCAATTTGATTTTGTTGTTTCGTTTTTTTAATGGGCCCTTAGTGGGCTTTTTAAAATTTAAAATTGAGAAACTTACATGAATATACTATACTAAAAAAATATTTATCATTTATAGCAATAATATTTTTTTTCACTTGATCACTTTTAATTCATTTTAATATAAGATTAATACATATTTCAAAGAAGAATTTATTATTCACATATAATACAAGTTTTAATGATTGATAATACAGTTATCACACATTTTAATACACTTATAATGCAATGTAACAATTTTTAACCAAACAAACATAATATATTTCAAAAACAATTATAATTCAAATATATTGTATACATAATTCACTTTTAATACATATTTATTACAATATTGCTATAAATGGTATTAAACAAAAAGTATCGCTAAAATCAGTAATTATTTTTCAAAATCTATTAATTTATGTAATTTTTCCTTTAAAATTTTACAAATTATTTTTGTTTGATTTTTCAGCTTAATGGACTAAAAATAGTTACATCAAAGAGGTGTCTTTTAATTTTAAATTTTAAATTATAATATTTATTATTTAACATTAGTAATTAATATAATATAAATATATATTATGATATAATATATTTTGGTAAATCGAAATACCGACTAACACAAAATTACATATCGAAAACCGAATCAAAATATCAAAAAATACAAAAATGTATACCGAATATCGAATCGAAAACCGAAAAATCGAAATCAAAATATCAAAAAAATTCGATTAGGTTTTCTGATATTTATGCCCAACCCTAAACAATTGAGTTTTTTCATTCTTGATAAAGATCGAACAAAAATTATTTAAAGTACCCTTTATTGGATAGTGTTGTATATTTAATATATGATATTTTTCGATGTGAATTTAAACATGAATGTCAATATCTAGTGAAAAATCAAAAAAGAATGAAGAAGTGAAGTTTCATATAGTTGAATTTAACTTAGAGATTGGGTTATTATTATTATATTGTATTTCGATTAATTATCCTTTTTTTTTGTTTTAATTTATGTAAAATTGTTAGAATTGATATAAAAGTTAAAACAAAGGTTTAGAAATTTATCGTCTAAAATATTCATTTCATCAAGGATAGAAATGTCAAATACTAAGAAGCTGATAGAATTGTTTGGAAGAGGTCGAATTTAACTTCTACGAATTATCATAACTCGTATATAAAGCATTACTTATAACATAAAAAGATCCTATAAAAATATTTATAGTTAATTATCTATGACAAGTGTAATTAATAATATTTATAACATTGATTTTGAAATTTTGGCGATTATAAACACGTTCTATTTTAATACAGCAAACTTTTATTAGAAATTTGAAGTGAAATTTGATACGATATTTTCTTCATTAAAAGAATATGTTTGGTACGCCGAAAAATATTATGTTTGAAAAATGATTTACAGGAAGATGAGTGGGTGTTCTATTTATATTTTTGTTTTGATACGTAACTAAAAAATATATTATTCTAAAATATTAATATAATTTTAAATAAATACTATTAAACAAGAAAAGAAAAAGGTACAAATATGATAATCCTTCGGTCACTCTATACAGAAGTCTTAGATTTGAGTTCTTTTTTTAAAGAGAGCGTGGCGAATTTTTTATGTATTAAAAATGTCCAATGTGTCTGTACGGGAAACTAAATCTTTCACCACGTATATTCACATTAGTGAAAATGTCCGAAAAACTAAATCGTTCACAACGTATAACCACATTAGTAAACGTCCGAGAAACTAAATCTTTCACAATGTATATCCACATTAATAGATGTCCAATGTGCGTACCGAACACCAGACGGGATACCAAGTCTTTAACTTCAAGTTAACTACATGCTATGTATGACACTCAAGATTCTTCACTTGTAATAAAGTTTTCATTGAGTTTTAAAGAAGTGAAATGTTCTTTATACATAAAAAAGAGTGTTGAAAGAGAGAAGTTTTGTAAAAATATACAAAAAATTGTTCCCAACTTTCAAACACTAGCTATCTCAACAGACTTCTGAAGGGCACCTAAGAGGCTTCTCATGATTCTTGGCTCACCGGGAGGCGCCTTATCTCTCGAGGGTCCATTTCGTATGGCTCGAAATATTGGAGGTGAAGTCTCAGTTGCAGGGAAAACCATACAGTCTATATATGCAAGAACTTCAGTTTGAGCATCATCAACTGAAATGAAACAAACTCTGGCTCCGCGAGGAATTTTATCAACCTGTATACGAAAGTAAGTCTCATCTTGATGATGAACATTGTGTATACAACACGAACAATTTCGAGTGTTTAGTCTGTGAATGTAAGAATGACTAGTAGTTTCTTCTGCATAAGTCGAAAGACAGGAAAAAGAAAACAGAATCTGCCTATTTTTTTGTTATAAAGGACAATTGATGTTTACTTCTTTATATTTTGAATCTCGATTGATTGGTTAATAATGTTCTCGAGGTTGTATATAGTCCGATGTTCAATGATATGACTCTCCTACTGACTGCATTGCTTGAATGCAGAAACAGTATATCGAGCTTAGAAATGAGGACGAGTTACCTTTAGAGGCACCGGTAGTGGCAACATAGCTCCTTGACAAAGGCTGTTAGCCCACTGCAAGTCACAAAACAAAGCATCGTTAACATTAACATACTAGCATTAAACGACAACAACTATGCCTCAATCCCAAATAAGTTGGAGTCGGTTATATATATATATATATATGTATACTCACTAATCCAGTTTATATACAAAGATATCAGTAGAAACGACGTCTTTCCTTTCTATGTTGACACTTGAACAGAGAATTTGCATGTTAAATGATGCACACAGAGTCCAAACATGAACAAAGGTCATCTGCAAAATGCACAAAGTCCACGAACACGAACATGGAACTTTGTTATGACTTCTTTTCAATTCTCCATCGTTCTGTTCTTGTTCTCGAGGTGATGTATGCAGAAATGAGATTCTCTAAGAGAACAAATGTGTTAAACAGTAAACTAGTCCTTTCATTACAAAACTTGCTGCTAAATGAATCGAAATGTGACTAATGTATCTCTTGTTTGGATATTATAGCTTCATACGCTATAGCCTCGAGTCCTTAAGTGGTTATTGAATACTCTTTATAAACCAGTATGACTAATTAGCCATTCTCTTGAACCTCTAGGTCTTCGGAGTTAACCATATGATAATTCATATTCCGAGACCTCTGGTTAAAAGGTGAAAGAACCTTTACCATTCCCACACCTCTTGGTGGTTGTTGAAGTTTTTTAAAACAAACACATAAACACAACAAAAGTTCACTTTTCTTAATCTATGGTTTCAAAGGGAAGAACCACTAGGGATTCTATAACTAGTCTAGCACACTCTTTTCTTACCACTTCTAATTAGATAGACTAAAAATACTTATTGCAATCAAATGAAATTTATACAAACAAAAGTGAAGATCAGGGGTGGTTCGACAGTGTTGAAAAAAAAGACATGTGTCTTAGGCCTTCAAATTTAAGGCGTTCTATTTTTAATAATAATAGGTTATAAGTTATTATTTATGAACAAATATTGAATACTATTTGTAGAAAAAGTAAACATTTCATGAAAAATGAAGAGATTATTAGAAGAAATTCGACATATCTGTAGTACTATATATCTCATGAAATATAATTTTTAAAATAAGCATGGTAACCAGAAGAAATCAATTATAAAAAAAAATATTAACAATTTAAGTTTAAAGCCCCGTTTGATTTTTGTTTTAGATAACTAATACGCTTAAGGCGTCCCTGGTAAAAACATTTCAACATAAAGGCTGTCCGGTACACAAATCATCCTGTGTTAGCAGGGTCCAAGGAAGGGTCACACCCTGTGATGTAGACAGTCTACCCTAAAACAAGCATTTAGCGTCTGAATAAGCAAAAACAACTTTATTGTTGCTCTAAAGCTCGTTTAACTGTCTTTGAAAACAAACTCACAATCAAAAGCAATACCTGAAAAAGTAGGGTTTCAAATCTAGCAAGATCAATATCTTTTGGCAATTTCATTGTTCCCAAAGAAACCCCATCTTCATAATCTTGATCATTAGGTCCATCTCCTCCACTTGCTTTCACCACAACACTCAAATTATGATAATTTGAAAACTCACTGAGGTTAAACAACCTATTGTTAGTGTTGGTGATGAACAAAGTTGAAGGAGGAATAGACCTAGTTGGACAAATTTGCACTTGAGAATTATGTGTTATGTGAAAAAATTGTTTGGTTGTTAAGGAAGACATGGCTAATTGTCTTACCCTTTTTCTTTTTGTTGTTGTTGTTTTAGTTTTTGTTATTTTTTTTGCTGTTAGAAGTGGTTATTTTTATGAACATGTTGATGAGATATTTAGATAGGATAAGGGATTTTTGCAAATCAGTGGTGGACAGTCTACAATAAAAAATAACAAAAGATTATTACCAAAAATAATATACAAAAAAAAGATTTACTTCTTAGTCCAGGAAAAAATTACATGAATTAATACATTTTTAAAAATAATTACTGATTTTAACGATACTTTTTGTTTGTTATCATTTATAGTAATACTGTGATAAATCTGTAATATGCATTGAAAGTGAATTATGTATGCAATATATTTGAATTATAATTGTTTTTGAAATATCTTATGTTTGTTTGGTAAAAAATTGTCAAATTGTATTATAATTGTATTAAAATGTGTGATAAATGTATTATCCATCATTAAAACTTGGTATTATATGTGAATAATAAATTGTTCTTTGTAATATGTATTAAACTTGTATTATAAATGAATTAAAAATGATCAAGTGAAAAAAAATATTATTGCTATAATAATAAATATTTTTTTATTTATAATATATTTATATAAGTTTCCCTTTTTTAAAATAGAAATATGATTGTGATCCGTTCCTTGGACTCTTGCATAGAGATAGCTAAGTACACTAGATTGATCATTTTTTTATGGAAGTAAAAGATTCTGATCTGACCCTCGGACCTTATGCATAGTGAAAGCTTAATGTATTAGATTATCTTTTTTTGTTTTTTATAAATTCGTAGTCTAAAACAATTCGTTGTCATTAGCCAATACTGGAAACATCTTTGACGTTGGTTCAATCCTTCCTCAAATCCTACACATAGCCGAAACTTAAATCTTTGAGACGACAATATCGAGTGGATTTAGTTAGATGGAAACTCCCGCGTAGTTAGACAGGAGTTTCAATGATCATCTACCTTATCTAATAAACTATGTGCCCGCATAGATCTAGCATTGGAGTTTAAAGAGTCCTTTAATTTAGTATAAAAGAATAATACTAAATAGAATGTATTCATTATTTTTCCATTATTAATATCTAGAAATACATGAGATGATAAATAAACACATGAAAAATGCACCAAATAAGATATTGCTAATACAAGAAGTTAATGCATTCATTATTTTTCCTAATACACTCTACCAAACGAACCCTAAAAGTGATCTTAAAGTTATATATACAAGCAATATTGTTGCAAACAAGAGTTTAGCTAATAGTATAGAATCATAGCTCACTCTGAATCCAAATATAAAAACATGGAAAATGGGATTTTTTCGAAAGGACGAGGAAGATAAAATAAATTATGAATTAAACAAGTTTATTTTGCCTGTCAGATAAAAAGAAATTAATTTGAAGCTATTTTCTCAGTTTTTTTTCCTCTCTTTGCTGCTGTACAAGATCCACAAGTATCTAACTAAAAGTTCATACAACCACCAAGCTGCAGCAACACCCTTTTTTGCAAACTGAATGCAACAATTTCCATTCATGCTCTCAACGTCGAGAGCAGATCGTGCTGAAGTCCGTCTTCATATTGTCGTAAAATTACTATGAAGAGTGAGCTTCAAGCTTGGGAAGAAGACTTCGCCATGCATCTGCTATGCCATTAGATAGCCGCGCCTGTCCCTTAGCAAATTCATGGAAAGCAAGTCCCATATCTGATGTCTTCTGTTCTTGAAATCGGACAATCTCTTCGTTCATAAGCCTTACTATCGTATCAAATCTTCTCGATGTTTCTTCCCCTTCAGCCTTAAGCTGTATTCCGGAGAAACACAATGTAAGTACCTGTCTGGGCAGTTCCACGACTAGCCAACTGGAAAAAAAAAAGTTGAACACACTGACCATTTCATACTCGCGCTCAGCCTCAGCCAACTTCTCTGATCGTGTCAGCTTGTATTTATTTCTGCAATGAAAAGGCAAGAGACGAATTTTACTTCAGAACAGGGACTCTGAGATACTGCGCAAATGACTAAACAAGACTATTAAGAGGATTGCATATTTCCCTGTTTTAGATAAAACAACAAACACATGTTTCGACTCTTTACTTCACAGATTAACAGGATAGGAATGAAAAAGAAGTCGCTGTTTATAATGGTAACTTTTCACCTAAGATATGCATATTACATATGCAAGAACGACGTCAACGATTTTTTTCAAGACAAGGAGGACGCTACATTAAATAAAATTGCAAAAAGTGACTTCAATTCATTCTTCAGTGAATCAAATTCTTAAAAGTAATTTCTTCACTCTTCACTAAATCAAATACACACTTGGCACCATCTAATCTTGAACCTAGTAGTTACAGTTCAACACGTGATGCTAAAAGGCCTTCCATTGATGTCCCATCTATGTAAGTTTGTATAAAAAAACATATATGGTTTGTCATCATTGTGAGAAATACAGGAGAAATACATTATTGAATCGTGTATCTACATTATTACATTGAGACCCTATTTATATTTTATAGACACTGCATTAGAATCCTTTTTCAACTAGGATTCCAATTCTAGTTAAGATTGTATATACTTATTTCTACTCTAACAATCATAATACTATGCAACAGTATATACCATTGGCAGAGTAAAAGTACCTATATGGCTATTCTCACAAAAGAAAGAGGAGATAGGCTGAGGTTGGGAGGAGGGGTGGAAAAAAGAGGGACCCATGTAAACCTACGCAAATCAAGGGGCCAACATGATGGCTAATAAACCCAATCATAACATTGAGCTCAATGTAGGTGAAATCAGCAATTAAGTTGTACTTTTATACAACATGCAGGACAATGATAAACTAATTAAATACAGCAAATTCTCATACTGCAAAATTTTTTGTAGCCGATTAAAATTTTTTGTTAACTTCTCCAGTAAAACAAGACCTAGACAGTATTTACATCAACATCAAACCACATCTCACACTAAACATGCCTGGATGATAAGAGTAGCAGATTAGACCATACTAACAGTAAAACAGAATGAAGCCTTGTTTATCAGATTTAAGATATCATAGTGCATATTTAACCCTTCCCATAAAAATAAAAAAATAAAAAATAAAAAAAACCCTCCCCATACACCTAGAATGCAGTAGTGTCATAGACCAGGTCAGTGTATAAATATGACATAGTTGAAGGAAAAACTTGCAACAGTTCAACAGAACAACCACCAAATGCAAACCAAGATCAGGTTTAAAAAACCACCAAAGGAACAAAACAGGGGGAAGAGCAGTACAGATGTTGAGACATACAAATCAATTTCCTTAAACTTAATTGTCTCAGCCAGTTCACACTGTTTCTTGAATGCAGTTGCTCTCTCTGCTATCGTAGCCTGTTCAAAGTTAGCACGGATATTAGTGTAGGAGAGCAACAGAACACTAGGTTACTCTTAGCAAAGAAAAAGCTGAAAGTACAAATACAGATGCAACAGTTATTTATCTTTGAGGATGCAGTATTTGTCAAATGTACTCAAGTCCTGAAGCAAGGCTTAGGGCAGCCTTGGCGCTTCACCTTGTTTAAGTTGAACCTTATTGCCTTAAGGCATGCCCGAGTCCTGAAGCTCAGCTCAAACCAGGGTTGGAAAATGATCTAGTACTGTTACCCAAATGTTACATATGGATATACTAAATGATCAAGAACAGAAAATTATATATTTTGTATGAAAAATAATTTATCTTAGATCTTAAGAAAATACTTAAAATTGCACCATTGCATATTAATTAAAAATTGTGATGGCATCTGAATGTAGTTGATACAGATTTACTTCAAATAATGTACATGATAACAATTATTGCAGTTTCTCTACCCATATAATTACAAGTTATCTTTATATTATTTTTTCTTGCATGTTATTCAACTTCATCATGTGCTTATAATTAACTTCATCATGTGCTTTCTTCACTAATGCACCCACGTTTTTGTCTTTTAGCCTTTGATGACGCTGAACTGAAAATTTCCATCCACTTGTTGGGTAAATAACACTGTTTCTTTTACTTTTTTTAATTGGTGACTAACACCTTTTTCTTACAAGCAAAGTAGACTGCTCACCTTAATAGATTGCACTGCTCGAACATAATCCTTCAAAGGTTCTTCGAAGTTCATTAAAAGGTGGTGGGCCTGAGTGACAGAGCATTGCCTGTTATCATTACCTAATTTTGTACAAGAGAAAAGACCATGGGTTATTCTTTGTTGAAAATACCTCTTTCTGCAGCTTAATTGATATTATCTCAGACTTTGCCCCAAGTTCTGAAAATGCTTTTCCAAGGGCATCATCATCACAAGTACCAAGAAGCTTGACTGCCTTTCCAAAGTCTGAGAGAGACTCGCCCAACTCTGAAATAACAAGAAAAACCATAAGTCAGCTGCTTGGAATGACAAAATGACAAGTTTGTCATATACATAAGGATAGGAAAGGAAAGTAAAGCACACAATATGTTTAGAAACACAAACACGTGATGAGATAACAAAAGTCATATGCCATCTTCGGATTGAACACTGTGAGGCGAAGAGAAGGAGATCAAGATATGTCAAATACGGAGACGGTGTTTGACCAAACAGTTCACATTTGAAATTCCTCATTTTCAAATTGCATCTGGGGTATACTGTCCCAGTTTGCCACTTTACATTGAGTTGTATCTTCTTCTCTGCATCCTCATTATGTGACAGATCACATAACTGAATAAAAATGTACCTGTCTCCCCTGATATTCTATTTTCTTACAGCCAGTTTGGCCATAAGCAAAGGAAAAAACATTGAGCCATTCATATTGTTCCCTTTCTTCACGATAGGAAATAGAAGAGGCTTTTCATTAGTTCACGTTGAGTTTCTCCAGAACACATTCTACAAATGGCTTAACCGTTATTAACTAATTTAGGTCACACGCACACACACACCTCTTCCCTGACAGAATTGCAGATGGAACTTAGCTTCACACAATAACACTTCTACATTAATCTTCTCCAATCCAGAATTTGAATTTACAAAAGTACACTTTCCCATTGAAGAGAAAAAAGTTGATGATAAACCAAAGTCGTGAGCCCCGCAGGGTCTCCAAGTTTTTTTGAGACAAGGGTAACTTTGTATTCACACCAACAATTCATCATCCACAGGTTCTCCAATGTATTGGTTAACCTTGTTTTCTCTCAGAAAAGTTGATGATGGACTCCTTTCACTATTTCTCGGGCACAAAAAATTAGCCCACTTGGTTAAGGGATGAAGGTATAGGATGAATCCTCCTAGAAGCTTAGCTATAGGCAAGGAAGGGGGTGCGAGCAGGGTCGAAGAAGGCATGGCACCTGAATCACCATGTCTCTTACTGCTTGAGAATCAGATAGATATCTCCTTACGAGACTGAAATAAAAAGTGCTGTAATACAGTAATTAAATATCTGAAGTGCAAATACACTTGCACAGAGTACTCAATGCCTTTAAACTAGATTTTCCTACCTCTGTGCCTCTTGACAAGACGATATGCATGCTTTTGAGCCTCAGCTAAATGCTCCTCAAGCTCAAAGATGTAGTTCTTCATCTTCTCATATTCTGGGGTTGATTCTTCAACTGGCTTTTCCTTCCCAAGAACAACATCACTCACTTTAGATTGGACATCCTGTCATTTACGACTTACTGTTAGTTTAAGAATAATCCTGTGCACAAACCATTGTAATATTCCTCACTCAGTGGCGTCAGCCAAATGTGGTTTGAACTTTGAAGTCCATTAATATACCAAAAAGATCAAGAAAAAAAACACACTATATGCACCACAGGCCCACATATGAACAATTAAATAACAGTAAATCACATCAATAGAGATGTTGTCAAAGAAGAAGCAAAGAAGGAGGATTAATTTCAATAAGTGTGATCAAATTATTTTAAGTGTAGAATTGGAAGTATAATTATTCGGAAATTGTATTATTATATTCAACTGTCAGATACCTTAAAGATTTGGATCAAATCTGCAGGCTTTTTCTTGAAAATACCAGTCTCCTGGAACCTTGCTCTGTCCATTGTCTGAAGAAAAGGCAACAGGCATGAACCACTTTTAAGAAAAAGATGAAACTACAATATTAGGAAATATATAAAGCTGATATGATAAATGCATTAGACATAGTTCAAGTACAGAGTACATGACCTCTTCCTACAGATTTTAAAACCTAAAGCATTTAATAATTGAAGAGAACAGAACTTTGACAGGCGATGTCCTCAAATACCAATCTGAAAGAAATCAATAAAAATAAGGTCTCCAGTGTACCGAAGATCTGCTAAGACTAGTTTATTACTCTAGAAGCTCATTACACCAATATGCTCCCCCAAATCTGCCCGGTAAAAGTGCATTTATTTAACCAAATCAATATACTTTTAAGGGTCATATAAAACCAACATTATTTTTTTACAAAAATGGTGAGCAGTAATTATATAAAATAAGAAATCTGGCACTCAGTGAAAATCCAAAATTATTTTATACAGCTTTTATACAACCGAGAAACCCCTGAAAGCCAACTGGTGCATGATTCTAAACTCGGTGGTTATTTGTGCAATGTTCAGTTGCTACTTTTGTCTACCTCATAAATAATACAAGCAGAAGCTCTACATGAACCTGTGTATTTTTTTTGCACAAAATGGAATGTAGAATAAGAATGCGGATATTAATAACCCTGCACATGAATTAAAAGTACTGAAATCACAAAACTAACCTTATAAAAGTAAATAAAAATGTTTACGAAGTAAATAAATTTTAAATTATACATTTACATTGTATACTAACTTGTAGTATAGAATCCAATCCTCCAGCAAGAGATAATCTCTCATTATAATCCCTGATTTACTAATCTTTGCATTACTAATCCTTGCATAACTATTCTATAAACTGAATGGCCCCTAGATTCTTCAAAGATAGTGCTCAATTAGTTAATAGAAATAAAGAGTTAGGATCAATTACAGTAGTTGATCCCTCAATGGCGTGTGTTCAAGGTTAAGTAACACAAATTAAAGAGACCACAAAACCAGTACAAGATAAAGACGAGAGACGTTCAATGATGTGGCTTACTAACAATCAGAATCACAGACACCAGACAAATAAGAATACCTCCACAAAAGGTTAGATAACATATGAACTCTATTCAACAAAGTAAACTAACTTTTATTACCTGTTCATCAGCCTGCAAGAAGATTCTCAAATCGTCACTTTGCCGAAGTTCATGATGTGAAGCTATTCTGTTTACAAACACATCCAGAGCTTGGCGCCTCATTTCAATAAATTCTGCACTAAATCTGAACTTTTCTGCAAGAAGGTAGATAATAATAATCACAAAATGCCTGAAAATAAGATCATTTTATTGGTGCAAAAGCTAGTGGCTCCCCTTGATAGATTCCAATACTTAAATCTTTATAACCTATACTTCTCCAAAGAAAATGGGATTGATGCCCCAAAACACAGACATCCTTACACATGTTTGACACAGTTAATTATGTCAATCTATAACAACTTCCGCCTACATGACTCCCAATTCTTGTCCGTCTCATTTAGTCATTTCCAACAAGCAACGATAAATCAACAGATTCAAGATTGAACATATTGGACACCTATTGGTTTTAAAATCACTTAGAGTTAGAGAAAAGTCAAAGAGATAACCAGCACGAGAAAGAAGTGTAGTCAATACCTACAGTGCTTTTCTCTGGAAGTGGAGGAATAAAAATACTCCTTGTATTTCTCAAAAAGCCGATCGTGTAACCATACAAAATCACTATAACGTCGAATCACAATTTTTTCATTCCCTTGGTACTCTGCCAAATTTGTCTGTCGTGAAGAAAAATGGTGAATGAGAACTTGAGGATAATCATGAGAAGTATATACTATACTCTGCTGATAAAAAACATATGAATGTCTGTTCCAGAAACAGGGCAAGAGAAAAAAACAAACAGAAGAAGCAGAATATTATAGAATCTTAAGTTCAGCAAAATAACATCCATTGGATGCAGGGATTGGGATGCGTAAGCTCTGGACCCAAAAAGAGTCTCTGGAGATTAAATTGAGTCTCAAACGTACTTAAGTAGTTGTTTCATTGCTTGTTCAGCCTATTAGAAAAATGAATTTTCGCCTAACTCAACCTCAAAAGCTAACTCATGTAGTAAGAAGGATTGTTCAAGGCTATAGCCTATACCCTCAATCAATCCTGGACACTAACACAAACTATGAGGTTCACATTTCAGGCCTCAAGATCCAAACTAAAACCACCCCACTAAATATCAAAGAACTTTTCCTTACAACATGACCAAAAGACCAACAAATTAAATATGTTATGTGTATAAAAGCATACTTTAAGGGGAAAAGATCTTTAGAACTGAACGAGAGAAACGGAAGTACAAATATCCTAGATGGTAAAAGTATCTATAAAGTACTTATTCCCAAGTACATTAAAGAAGGTTTCAGCGAGAATAGAGCAAGTGACTTAAAAGAAATAGGTTTATGCAAACACTGATGTGGTTGTTGCGGGCATAAAGTGAAAAAAATAGAAATATAACTCAAAATTTAAATAAGTAGTTCACACTTCACACTATCCAATATAGTCTTACAGTAGAGGTCCTAACTTTGCATGAGTGAGTTCACTTATATTGCTGATCCCAACATAGATAAAGAGGGAGGATTGTGGTAGGTTAATAACTAGCGCACAACTAGCAATCTATGATGAATTCTCACAACAAAAACAAGTTGATAAGACGGGCTTAAATTGTGCAACCCGCACTGTAAGGATTCCTATATTGATGTGTACTTGTTGTATTAGAATTTAGAGCAGAGACCTTGATTTCAAGTCACAGCACCCCTATCAAAAGAAGAATTCAAAACTTCCTTTGCAATTAGAAGTATAAGACTACCCTTTCTTTAACTTATTCGCGGAACTCCTGGAAGGGTTAAACAATGAAATACAAGTAGAATCAAGATATGCACAATAAATAACTAAGCATAGATATATCCATGTGTAACATTCGACTCTCCAATTTCCTAACGTCTCTTAAAAACCCCACCTTACTATATAGTTTCTCTTTCTATGGATGACATATTTTGAACTACAAACTTCATATCGCCATGAGAACAAAATCTCAAATGTCAATCGTATCAAATCAAGACGTTTTGCTCTTCAAACTCATGTAAATTATGCCAAGCTTAAAGGTTGCATCTTTCCAAATATACATCCAACAGGAAGTCCTTCCATTTGTTTACTCTGATTCTATATGTTATTCTTAGTCTTATCAGATATTATTGAATTTGATCATAGATTCAGTCAACCTTAATGCAATTAGCTTCTCTGAAGTACAGGAAACCCCAGTTCGAGATCCATAAAGGGGTTTCTTAGAAAATATGAACTTGACGTTCGCCCTAATCCAGCAACTTCGAGCATAATACTACTACTAGCTATACAATTAAACATGTATAAGCATAACTAGTAAATGGAAAGAGAAGGCAATGAATCAACGACCTTAGTGATGACTTTGTAGGAGATATAAGCTTGAACTCCATTACCCATTTTAGCTGGATCCGTAACTGATACTGATAAAAACGGCGCTTGTGAAGATGGAGATCTAGGGCTCTGTAACGAACCTGATCCACTTCGTTGCTGCACCATTATACAACATTCAAAATCAAACAATACGAAGATTCATCCTTATAAATTCGAAAAATTGACTACAAATTCAAAATAATGACGGAATCCACACAATTACCATGGTGTTCATGGCTGTTCGGCGATTAGTTGCTACCGGAGAACGGTGGCGATGGGTTGCGGTTTGTGCAAAGGTCTACTCGTGACTTTGGGTTTTAATGGAAGAGTCGTGTAGCACACATGTGAAACATATGATATATATATATATATATATATATATATATATTTTTCCAATATTTTCTTGTTATTCGATTTCTATTATTATGTTTCGTTTATATATTTTGATTATTATATTATTATTTTTCTATAGTTATTGTTCGTTTTTTCTATAAAATACATTATTTATTTTCTAGAATAGTTTGTTGTTTATTTTTTCACTTACGTTATTACTTTCTTTATTAAAGGATTTGTCAAAAAGAATTATATGAGTTAATTCTGAGTATAGTACTCAAATCTCATAAGACTTCACTTTTGAAATTACGATAAATAGCTTATTGTTATCATTTTGGTTGCTAGTCGGGAATTTAGTTATGTCGAGTTGTTTTATTTCGTTTTTTAGTTATAAGTATTAATTAATTACTAGTGTTATTATGCACTAAATGGAAGTTACATATTATTCTATGATGTGTTATGTTGTATTTAATTGGATTATATCATATTGTAATACTTTGATGAATGCAACATTTGAATGTATTCAAATGTATTGTATTGTTTTCAATTGTTACTCTACCTAATGTTATGCATTAAATTATTTAAAGGAAGCATCTATTAAAATGTGTATGACGAATATTTAAATTAAAAGTAGAATAAAGTATAAAATATAATTATTAGATAACAAGTAACAAGTAAAAATATAAAACATCAAACTGATAATTATATAAAGGCTGAATACATAAAATTTCCTCTGAATTTGGCAGCAACACTCGCTTTAGTACTTTAACTCTACGGGTAATTATTTGCCCTCTAATCTTTTTGCAAGTGAATTTAATACCACCTTAATAGAATTAATTTTTTTTTTCTTTTTGAAAAAAAAAATCTCACTATATATAATGGAAAAAAAAAATGACAAGTAACAATGATTTTAGTGATACAATATAATTAAATTTGGATAACAATCGAAATAAATATTATATTCAAAATAACAACATGATAAGTAACAACTAGGACTGCTTATCGAACGGATAATTTCGCTTAACAATTTGACCCGATGGATATTGATTTTAAAATTTTAATAATCTGATAACTAAACCATAAAACATCAATTGATTTGATAACGGACTAACATTTATCGTATAATTTATTAACAAACATTTGCAATTTTATTTTCTATATAAACACACCTTTAAAATGATTTTCTCACCTATTTTATGTGCAGTCAAATTATAAAATACTTCTATGTTACAACAAGAAATATATATATATATATGTATATAGAGTGATTAATAATATTATAACAGTTAATAATAAAAAAAGTATTTTCATATTTTTTATTTTACGGTCTTAGGACTAAAATATATAATTATATATGATGTAAAAATATCAAACAATGCTAATATACCCAAGTAAAAAGTGTTAGTGTGATACCTTTTTACAAGTTAACGATTTATTCTATAAGGAGATTAAATAATTCACTATAACATTAATGAGTCATTAATCATAAAATTTTAATTTATTTATCAATCGCATTTTTAATCTAATATCAATAAATTAATAAATTGATTTTTAAATTGACTAATAGATCCTTGAAAAAAACTATCCAATAAACTATAAAGGACTTGTTCATGTAATCAAAATGGCATAATCAATCTAACTTTTTTTTTTTTTAAATTTTACATTGATATTTTTAATTTGGACATAAGAAAAATTCACTCATTGCTGTAAATAAATGATATTTTAATTAATTGCTTTTCATTAACTAATATCTATTTTTTTTTTCAATATAGAAAATTCACTTAGCTTATTATACAAGGTAAGTTTGAAAGCAAACAAACTAATGCATACTTAATTTATAATTTATGTAATTATATCTAGTCAGAATAAGATAAAAATAATTTAACATAAATTACTAATACATAGATTAATTAACTGAAAAAAAATTCTAAAACAATCAAACTTTTTGCTGATACTAAAACATAGACAAAAGAAAAAATTCATTGTGAATATAATATCAAAACTTATCTCTCTTATTTTAATTTCCTTATAATAGTTATTTTTAAGTGTGCATCAAGGTAATATAATTAATTTATCTCATTTAATATTTCATTTTTTCGAAAAGATATTTTACAATATATTTTTAATAACTACCTTATTCAATATCCATCAATGACATATTTATTTGTTCATGTTATGATTCACACGTAGAGCAAAAATATAAGATAAGATGATCAATTTATTTTAACAAGTTAAAGTTTTAATAAATAAAGTCGCCCATATAATAATTAGAGTTGCACATATTTTGACGGAAAATAATATTCATTTTATGATTTTTTTTATAACTTATATATATATATGGAAAGTAAAATATAAGATAATTTTATTTAGTTTAATTATTTTTTTGTAGAGAGAGTTCTCTCTTTCATGCGTTGATGGATTTAAAATTTATTCATTAAAATTTCAAATAAAACTATTTAAAAATAAAATCAAGTTTTAAATCATTACTTTTGAATTTAATCAGTTGTCACTACAACTCTAGCTCTGTCCTTATTAATAAACCCCATTATAAAGACCAGGAGCTAAAATAGTTATTTTTTTCAACAGTAATATTATAAGCATTCATTAATATGGTGTGTAAGACTGGATAATGAAACATGTATTAGTATCGGTTCGATTCTGTTCCGGTTCGTTGCATACGGGATAGAACAGGACATCCTGAATCGATACACATAACGGAACAGAATCGAGGTTTGGCTGGCGTACCAGTATCCATTTATCTCGGTTTATTTTAGTTCTGATTCGGTTCTGATCCGATTTTAATTAATTAATATTTATTAATTAATTTTATATTATATATTTATATATTATAATTTATTTTTTATAATTTGTGTAATTATTTTTTATAATTACAAATTTAAGTTATTTAAACTAAAAGTTATAAATATAATTTATATATTATAACATATTAATAAATAATAAGTAATAACTTATAAACCTCAAAAGATTTTAATCTTGAAAACTTAATTAAACTTAACTTGCAAACTTAATCAGTAAATTTTTTTAAAAAAGTATCTTGAAAATAAAATTAAGTAAAAAATCACATTATAAATTTTAAAACTATTAACTTAAACTTAAAAAAAATTTTAAAAAATTATTCATATTTTCGTAATTAAAAAAAAATATTTTTTGAAATAACTAGATGTGTCATCCCGTTTATTTCGTCCGTTGCATTTCGGTTCGTTCTGGTCCGTTCCGGTATATAGTGGGACGGAATGGAACCGAATATCTGTCCCGATAATTTCGATTCGATTCATCAGGGTACCGATCGACAAACTGATCAACTTGTTGTTTCGGTTCGATACCGGTTCGATCTGATACCAGTTTGTTCCAGTCCGATGATCCCGTTCTGATCTGTTGCCTAGTTTTAATGGTGTAACAATATACATTAGTCATTAAGTAAAATACATTAAATTTTATATATGATATACTAATCTGATGTGCTAGATACATTAATCTGATGAGCAAGTACAAGTGAAAATGAAAAATTCTAAAAATTTATAAAACTAATAGTGATAAGAAAACTTAAATATGAAATTTCTTGTCTCTTTTCTTTTTTAAAGTAATAAATACTATTTGTGTCCTGGATAAGAATGTTAATATTTCCTTTAATTTAGTGGACCCAACATTTGAAAACCAGCAAAAGGAAATAAATGAAATGAAAATGAAATCAGATGATTACTCCTTAATGGGGTCCAATGTTGAATTTATTTCCAAATATAATATAAAATCTTTGGAAAAAGGAGGCACCTCTAAATATTATCAGCACAAATAGTAATTTTATAATAATTTCAACTTTTTGTAATAATTTTTTAATATTAATTTTTTCATCCCAAAATAGTTACATCATGATTTATATAGAGTTAATTTAAGTGATTTTTATAGCTAAATAAATATAAAAAAATAACTATTAGATGTAATTTTTCTTATATCGATAAGTGAAATGCATTTTAAAATATTAATTAAAGTTTATATAAATATAGTAAAATATGCTTTAAATATTGATCAGTTTAAATAATTTGAACTATTGTGACAAGTTTTTTTTTAGAGTGTGAATTTATAATAAAAGTCACTTTATTTCTATTCATCTTTTACATTTTTTTCTGAACTTAAAAATGAATTTGACAAATTTCTAATTTTTATCTTTTATAATTATAATGTTACAATTAACTTGTCACAATTCAATTAATTTTTATAGATGGAATAAGTTAAGTCAATTAATAAAAACCGCACCCTTACTATTAGGAGATATGTAGAATAAATTTCTTATAATATGTCATTGAAATAAGTCCTTGTTAATAAGAAAAAGTGAAGTTGAACATGTGGTTTAATTTTATTTATTGAACGAATTTTATAATTGATTTTATCCGAATATTGTATTAATAATGCAGAAATCATAATTCTCAATTTACTTCAATTAGTCGCTAAATAATTTACTTTTTCTGACTTTCATATTGGAGGTCTCAAGTTTGAAATTTCTTGTCACCGAAAGCAAGGAATTTACTTTCTGATTGAGCCCAGTGCAGATTGTCTCTCTTACGTAATTTGCAAGCTATAACATAAAACTGAAGGTTTTACTCTGCGTCAACAAAATAGCGGTTGCGGATTTTTCACTCTTCTCATAATTTTTTTAATATAAAAATACACATTATGCATTTATTACTAGTTCATAAATTATAATTTATGTTTTTTTCATGTTATTATTATCACCTAATCTTCATTAAAGAGTATCCATTGATTATCCTAGTGGGTCCCACAGGAGTAATCTCAGCCGTTAAAATAAAGCTGGAGCAGGTGATTTTAGAGCCCCTGTGCCTATTTATAAATTGAGAGTTTCACACCTCCGCAAAACAGAAGAGGAGAGAAGCTCTGATGGACAGTAACGGCGTCGTTAGCTTTCACCACCGGCGATCGCCGTCCTCCGATCGATTTCTCGGCGTATTCTCTCCACCACAGAGTGATAGTGCTATCGGCGATGCAGATGTATCCATCGCTGATGATGAGCTGAACGAAGATGAAGTTTTCTGGATAGGAGACTTCACTGAACCTAAGCGCCGCTCTACTTCTCCTTCTTCAATCAGTAGTCGGAAAACTTTCCTTCAGCCGGAGAAATTCGGTATTCTCGCTGCATTGCCTGAGGATCACCGGAAACTTAACCGTCCTGTTGTTTATCGGAAACCTTCGATAACTTCCTCACCTACTAGTACAAAACTGTTTCATTCACCGCCGGTTGCATCAGCGATGGCTTTTTCTCGAGGGTTTCCTACGATTCCCAAACCTCCATTGGATAGAGAACATAGCTATAACCGTAACTATTCACAAACTATGCCGGTGAGGAAGTTCCAACACTCAGTGCCAGTGAACGTGCCGATGATGCCGAAGAAGGCACCGAGAAGTGACCTTGCTGACGTAGAAATCGATGATGATGACGGCGATGATGAGATGCTTCCTCCGCATGAGATCGTTGCCAGAGGATCAGCTAGATCACTTAAAACCACGTTTTCGGTGCTTGAAGGCGTGGGAAGAACACTCAAAGGGAGAGATCTTTGTCGAGTTCGCAATGCTGTTTTCCGCCAAACAGGTTTTCTAGATTGAAACGATAAGGAACAGTTCAGTTAATTTTGATATATCTCTGTGAATTATACTTATTGTTAATCGATCTGGACTGAGGTTTTCCTCCAAAAACATTATAGCTGGACAGTGAATTTTTCTAGCCAACTTTCAGTCATGGAGTACATCATTAAATAATATTATACAATGGAGATAGTCCTATATGTTTTTTCATCCGTTTCTTCAGTTTATGGTGTTTACTGTATTAATGGGAGTTGAAAATATTATTCTAGGAAATTTTGGTGTACATTTGGCAATGGAGATCATGAGAATTTAAATGGAAAATAGTGTTAGATTCTATATGTTTGTGATTGAAAGAACTTCATTGCCTGTGACTCGTGATCAAATCAATCTTTTTATAGCCTTAAAGCAGGCTTCTGTCTACTGTTTCATGTTTTGCTATAAGTAGGTATACTAATTGCTATATACTAGGTAGATTCTCCTGTACTTGTTAATTGTATTGGTATTCTATTATGCAGCTTGGTATAAAGATATAATTACCATTAGATAGATAATTTATGATTTTGTTCATGTTTCATGATTTCGGCAGTTGATTAAACATCAATTGGTTCAAGGGATATATAATTCTGTCATAATTCTATGGGGTATTCACTTCAACTGTGATTCATCCTTCGAAATTCTATTATTGAAAGATTGAGAATCGAGAGTTAATTGAATGTCGAGAATGAATGGAATAGTTCATGTTTGGATGAAATAACGGTATGGGTAACTTGGAATGTATTTGATGATGAATGAGTTGGGTTGCCATGGTGTAGGTAGCTTAAATGGTCAAATTAGGGGTAAGATGACCTTACCGTAATTGAGTTTGGCTATATTTTGACCAAATTAAAGTAGATATGATATTGGTCTAGTGATTATACCTAGATTGGTAATGCTTGAACCTAAATTGTAGAAGAATGCAAACGGTTGGCTTGCGAGCTTTGGATTTGGGATAATTTCTATCAGTGCTCTTTGTCAACCAGTTCACCATGCCCAGAGCACGGAGTTTGTATATTCATGGATATATAGCCTCCAGCCAGCCATACAGAGATTTGCATTGATGTCATTATCATTTTCCTTGAACTGCTGTAAGTTTTGATAGTTCATCTTAAGATCCAGCTTAGTTAAGCGTGTCTAGTAGCGAGCCTTCTTCAGGTAGTTACCTTCCTTGTTGAAGTGTGTTTATCTCCATCTGTCACATGGTGCCATGTATAGTTTACATCTTATACATTTCACTGGGTAGTTGCCAATTATTTGATGTAATCATATATTTACATTTTCATGGTCCACATAATGACTTTTCATACTGGCCGAGTGATTACTACTGTGAAGATTATGTGGCTCCTCCCTTGAAACGACTATAATTAAAATGATTTTAACCACAATTTTCTTATCTTGCAGTCCCGCTGTCTAGTTGAAATGTCTATAAATCATATTGTTCTGTACTTTGTCAACATCATGATGCATTTCAACTGCTATACTAGTTAATTGATTGACAAAACCTTTAGATGACTTTTGGGCCTGCTTACAAGCCATCTTTGACTCAAAGAGTGATTCCTGGTCTTTTAATTCTTAAAAGACTTTTCTTCAATGAATGGATCTAGTGCTTATCTCTCGATGTTAGCTATAACCTTCTCTGTTTTCAGTCCCAATATTGGGAAGAAATGTTAAGGTGTGGGGATACCATATTAACCTAGAACCTTATTACAGTTGGAGATTTCATGTTCTAATATTGTCAGTTGATTGCTGTTTTTCTCCATATTGGAGAACTTAATTTGGACGACTACTTCAAGTCTGTATAATTTGTTCGCGTTTGAGGGTAATCCTGCTATATCTGTGAAATCTTTTGTGGTGACAAGGCCACATACCTTGTATAAGTGGAGCCTTGTAGTATAGGTTCTTTATTTTAGTGGTGCCGTTATTTCTTCTTTTCATTTCATGAGGCAATCGAATCCTGGTGTAACCTAAAGTTTGAAGTGATAATGGCGACATCTTGTTGGTTTTTATGTAAGTTTGCCTTCTGATCAGTAATATATAGGATGTATCCAATGTGGTGTTTGTAGTGACTATTATTATCTGCTCCTATAGTTTATTCGCAATATTAGAACAAGAAAAGCCAAGATCTCTGATCAGGCCGATTCAGTACCTTCTATCAGGCCAAGGGAGAAGGAGATATTAAAGAGTGGTCGGTTTTTGATCCCTTTGCAACTTGGATGATGCAAAAAAGTTAGTATCATAGTCAAATAGTTGAGATTCGAGCAAGTAAAAGTTATTTGTTACTTGGATACTTGCCTGGAGGTTACACACAATTTGAACAGCGATATTTTAATGAATAGGTTCTATAGGAACCAACCAATAGATCGTAATGCATGAAATGCCAAGGTAAAAGAGCTATCTCTCTGTTTCTACTTGTTTTTTGGCTAAAGTTTAATCTCAATGGTGATTGTCTCTGTGCCATTATTGAAGGCAAATAATTGTGCTGTGTCATGGATTGCTAACGTTGGATAAACCCTCAATGTTATATGCATACTTTACCGCCAACACCAAAACTTTTCACTAGTGAGTTATCAATCTGCAAACATATAAAATGTCTCAGCCTTGTCCAAACTAGAGAAGGAGAATGCCACTTCAACAGCAAGTTCTGTTGAACGATTTAGAGGCGTAGAACATTCCATAATCAAGTCTCAGTCCTTTCAAACCATCAGCCAAATTGACATTCTGTTGTGTATCATATGTACCAATTGTGTATGTATACTGGTTAGAATTAGTCAGAGCGAGCTCTACTTGAAAACGTGTTTAATATTTTCCCCTTTCGTGTGATGATGAAATGTCTAAACCATTAGTACTCTGCAATGCAACAGGAATAAAGTGGGTGTTTAGCCTTCGTCCAATTGATGAAACTCTTGCTTCTATTCCTTTTGTTTTCTCACACTTGCAGATGTTGATGGGTCACATTATCGTCGCAACATTATATCTGAATCGAATCGTATAACTATTTTCTAGAAAAATTATAATCATATTTATATCTGAATTCATATGCTCGCAAAAATAAATAATCAGATGCATGATTCCTTTTTGGTTGTTTTTTCAAAGTACATTCAAAAAAAACAAATATATAAAATCAACCTATTGGTTGATTTAATTTCTGTCATATTTTCACAAATACATGTCTTCACCACATGGATATCAAAGTCTCTTAAGTCTGATCTTAGCAAAGACATAACTTCAATAAAACGATTTTTAAAGGTGGTTTTGACAAGTCATTTATGCGCAAACGATTTTAAAGATAAATATTTGTCACTTGATATAATAACTTGTCTAACCTATTCAAAGTTGGATAAATCTGTTAATTTATTTTGATCAATTTAAAATTAAACAGATGTTATCTCAAATTGACTAATATAAAAATTTGTCAATTTTTTTTACTAAAAATAAATCACAAATTATAATTAAAGACAAACTATAGCTAATATATATTTGCTTATACCCATACTTTCCCATCAATCAATTGTGACAAAAATAGATAGATAATTTAAAGAATCAAAGTTGAAAGTTAGAAACTAAAATGATGAGAAAAGTAAATAAAAAAAAGATCATAATAAAGAAAAAAAGAATAAATTTAATTAAAAGCACATAAGTTAATTTAATGAGAGGACAAAAATTATCAATATTTTACACACATATTACAAACTCTCAAAGCCCTCTCATGGCTATGGCTATGTAATTGTTCGTGCTCACAAATATGCCATTTTCTACTTTCCATGAGAGATTTCAGTTGCAAAATGGGTTTAATGGAAGCTTTAAGTTTTCTATGCAAAGCACAGTTCTGGAGAATGGCTGTTTGTTGGACTCTATCTCTCATTCTATCTTACTTGCAGTTGTTTTCCCAAATCCATTTCTCGCGTAAATCCAAATTACATGATCGTTGTTCATCTAAATCATCATCATCATCTAATGCTGCTATCGGAAAATCAATCTGCATAATTACAGGTGTAAGTATGTTGTAGGTCTTTTCTTTTTGGTAGTTTTATGTGATTATGTTATGGTAAATGATTTAGGTCACACTAGCTAATACAAAAAGTTATTTTCAATCAATTTGCCATCAATCTTAATTTTGTTAATGTTGATGCAATTGTATTTTTGTGGTGGCGTAGTAGTGGTTGAGAGTTACGAGGTTTTTGGTTCAAATCTCAGTGGAGATTAAAAAAATTGTAGGTGATTCTTCCTATCTGGCTTAGTCTTTGCACGAAGAGTTACTTGATACTTGTTGTTTGGTAAAAGCGATGGCTTGAGCTCAAATGGTGACATAAAGTTGGCTGGTCAATCACCTGTTAGATGAGATAGTTAGGCTATCTCAAGCTGATGTGTTTGACCCTTTAAAGAGTCTGACGGGATTCAGAAACTAAGTCTAATCTTTCAATCACATGTGACGAACGAGCTAGTTAGGGTATCTGAAACGGATGCCTCTAACCCATTAAAAAGGTCTGGTTCGAAATTTGTTAACATGTAAAGAGGGAGAAACCAAGTCTGCTGATGTTTTCTTTATCCAAGGGGAAGCTTGTTTCAATATTGCTTTACCAAGTATGAGTCAAACCACTGAATTTCTCAGCAGTTAATAGGAGCACTGAATAGGAAGTTATGAGTACTGGCCGTGGGACAGCTCACAGCTGGAAGGTATCCTGTGGAAATAGTCGAGGTGTACGAAAGTTGGCTCTGACATCACAATCATAAAAAAAACTTAATCTTTTTGAATCACCTGACATGGGAGGGGCTAGTTTTTAAGGGTCTTTGTGTGTGTATATGAGTGACTATTATGGAGGTAGTCATTCCCCGTTCCTTTAGTCTTTTCAAGGGTATTTTTCTTAACTCGTGGTCATGTCTTTCCCCCTAAACATATTTCTGAATTCTGCTGCATATATATTACTTATACCGTGTAGTCTAAGAGTGAACACACACTCTCTGATTTAATTAGAGGAAAACTTGAATCTGTTACTTTATCTACTCCAGTTGTGAGCATAACGAGCTTAAGAATAAACAATTTTTTCTTGTTAATTAGTGCCACACTTAGGTTTTGGATCAAGTTCAATAGCAAAAGTAGTACAACCATTGTCCTAGCCTCATTGGACAGAGTAACCTGGTACTTGTTGCTGGTGGAAAGTTACCGGTATCACCATGTTCCATAGATATCTTAATTTTTGCCTCCAAGGAAGTCTTTTCGGCTTAACCAATTTTTTCTATCCATAGATATATGTGCCAATTGATACAAGCTATAGATGCTTCACATTACCATCTGTGTCTTGTTCTTATTGGTGTTAATTTGCAATCATTTACAGGCCACATCTGGTTTGGGTGCTGCTGTTTCCTATGCCCTTGCTAAAGAAGGCTATTGCGTTATTCTTGGTGGGCTTCTTTCCTTGATATGATTCAAAAAAAATGAAATGTCGTTCTAATTTTATTTATACTTGTTAAAAGATTGAGTGTATGTATGGAGAAGCACTCTCCATGAGAACTACACTGCAAATTTACAAATCTATTGATTTATAAATTCAAAAAGATGTTCTAATTAAAAGATGAAATTTTTTAAATCTAACCTTTTTGTTATCCCTAGTAGCTTATGTGACATCCGTCCACACAAATGGAGAGTGTCAAAGATTATTTCCTGGGCTGACCTTTGACGAATTTGTGTCGTTGGTGTGCTTTCAATCAAAATTTGATTAATTATGTCCAGCGACTTACGCTATAAGGAGGCACTTAGATGTAATTGAGTTCATATTTAACTGTTCCCTTGTAGCTGATAGACTTTTTTTCCCAACAGAATCCATAATTCGTTATACAAGGAATTGTCTCAACTATTTAAGGCTTTTTGTTGATTAACTGCTTGGCAAAGAAATTTAGGAAGAAAATTCTTGTTTCCAAGTCTTCACTAATTAGTTCCCTTTTTCCATTATCTTCTGGCTTTCTTGTTGTCTTAGATCAGGAATCTTTTTGTTTTTTTCTATTTAGTATCTTAAATGGCCATTCCATATGACAAATATATTATCTGGTGATTTTAGTAGATTGTTAACTATGATATTAGAACTCGATTCAGTAGAAGGCTACTTTTATACCAATTACATGTGCAACCTTTTCTTCTCTTTTTATTGTTCATGCAACTAAAGATTTTAATTGTCAACAGTTTCTAGTGAAACCTTCACACCTCTAAGTCAATGCTAGTATGGTTTAACTGATCCTCTAATACTTGCAGCTGGAAGGTCATTGCACTCATTGTCAAAGGTACTGTAATTGAGTCATTGGCTTTTGTTGATTCTGCTTTAAGATATTCTCATTATTCTTGTTTCACAGGTTGTGTCTGAAATCAAAGAACAGATAGATGATGCTTGTGTAAAAGCTTTTCAGGTTGATTTGTCATCATGCAAGTCAATCTTGAGCTTCAAACACTCCCTTCAACAGTGGCTGTTGGACTCAGATTTGCATTGCTCTGTCCAGCTCTTAATAAATAATGCTGGAATCCTTGCGACGTCATACAGAATCACTAAAGAACAATGTGATCAGTAAACCACCTAAATCTTTATATACTGCTTTTCTTCATTCTGACTATCCTTGCTATAGGTTGGCTTGAGCATTCTTCTCTAGCAAAACTGCAAATATATGTGTTTCATCCTTTATTCTTGTGGAAGAACTCTTTCTTCTACTCCTTGCACTAATAGAACAGAGAAAATCTTACAGAGATATGAAACACAATATTGAAGAGCATTTTAGTTGGCACTATCTATCCCGACTTCACTTATCAGTTTAGCAGCGAAACATTTAGTAGAATGTTCTTGTGATTTAGATAATGCTGCATTGGGATCAACACCCCCACTTGTCGTTAATGCGCAACAAACTTCACATTTTTTTTTGTTAGGATCCTGCACTATTAATCAACACTATCTATCCCAACTTCACTTATCAGATAAGAGATTAGACCTTTAGTAGAATGTTCTTGTGATTTAGATAATGCTGCATGGGGATCAAGGCCTCCGCTTGCCTTTAATGAGCAACCATGTCACATGCTGCATTATATGTGCGAAGATCTCGCACTTGTTAGTTGCACGGACTGATAGGTGCTAGTATATCTCTCCGTACCCTTTTTCTCCCGCTGCTATGAGGTTCTTGATTATCCCGAGAGACACATAAATTATGTGTTAACAGGACATTTTTATATTTTTTTGTGCAGGATGGTTTCAACTAATTATATTGGTCCATTTTGTCTTACAAAACTTCTTTTGCCGCTTCTAGAACTGAGCCCTATCCCTTCTCGTGTTGTTAATGTTACATCATTCACGCATCGAAATGGTAGGTACAATTCATATACTATCAGTATTTGTACACTAAATGTTTATCAGCATCACAGACACTCGGTATGTAAATAAAAAAGGTGTTGGCTTGTGTCGAAACTCAGAAGCACATTGGTAAATTACTCTAATGCATGTTATGTTGCTTTATATGTTCATCTGTGCTAATATCTTTGACATTCTTCATTTTATTCCTCTACACTATAGTCTTCAGTGTTAGGACTAGTGTCAATTCTGTCATTTTGAAGCCTTCTAGCTGATTAACAACTCAGCCTTAGAGATCCGGGATAATGAGCTAGAAAATTATAGATTCTTTATTGCTAAAAGGACAGATGCCATTGGAACATTTTGTGTCATTAAAATCTCTGCTAAGAATGCTTCTTGTATCGTGTTCATTTATGTCTTTTTTCCTGAACTATAGTAGAATATAAATTGATGAGGGTAGTTTTGTTGATAAGAATTTAACCAGAACTGCAATTTTTTTGGAATTGTTCTTTTGGCTGTTATTGGTGAACATACGAATAAGACTGTAATTTGGCATTTTCTACTTGATTGATAGTGTCTAGCATGGAGGTCACCAGAGAAACAATATCTGGGCAGTGGTTTTCAAAATTAAGTTCCTATCCATTTGCTCATGTATATGAGTACTCAAAATGTAAGTTCAACTTTCCAGATTAAAGTGACCGTTACTATCTTTGAACTCATTGACTCCTAGAATCTCTCGCCATTTCTCTTGCAGTATGCCTTCTGCTCTTCACATATGAGCTTCATCGGCAAGTTGGTCTGGCGGAGAAATCACATAGTGTCTCTGTCATGTATGTCTATGTTCTCCTTTACAAAAAAATTTAGGTTCTCTATGTCACCTCATAAGCCATTATGTTTATCAATTTAATTCTATATCTTTCAAGAATGTGTTTGTATATTAAGGTAAAGCTCATCGTTTGTGTTGGTTTGTACAGTTTATTCATACTTTTCCTGTCGTGTCATCTGTTTGTCCATATCCAGTTACCTAGAAACCAAATTGTAGGCTAATTTTGTTTTTCATGATTCTGCATATGTAAGTGTAAACTGAGCTTTTCTGGGTGTAACATGATAGTTACATCACGAAGAGGGTAGAACTATGATACTTTCTGAAGGGGATATTGATTTCAATGTAGTTTTCCACACTATGTTTGCTTATCGTCTTCAAAGGAGCATAATTTTTGTAATTTATGGGCACTGTAGAGTGCTTCAGTTGTAGGGTTGTGATGCATTAGTCTCTATGACTTTCTGAAGTAGAATTAGAAAAAGAAGTCATTCTGTGCTCATTTAGTTTTTGTTAATGAATGCATTTTCATGCCCATTGAGAAGATAACCGAGACGTGGGCTTAATTTTAGATCCTTCCGTTGCTATCTATGACATATTTGGAAAGTAGTAGAGTCTGTGACGCCTGAATTGGTCATCAAAAGTAAAGTAGTTTGGAGCAAAGCGTGTGTAAAAGAAAATTGCTCCACCATGTTAATCTACTTTCAGCCTCACTATTGCCTGCCCTCTCAGTCAGAAACAACCATTTGATTTACACTGAAAGCTGCGAATTGTGAATGTGTGTTACTTTCAGCCTTTTAGCTTCTAATATTTCTTTCCAATTTTTTACTTGTCTTACTTTTGTAACTTAGATCATGTAATCTTAAATGATTAACGATCCCTTTATATGTGTCTTAAGTGGTGATTTTATTTGCCTGAACACTTCTTTTGTTTTTGTTCTGGAATGATGAAGTGCTGCAGACCCTGGAGTTGTGAAAACCAACATTATGCGAGAAATTCCTTCATCCCTCTCATGGTTGGCTTTCTTCGTTTTGAAACTTTTGGGCCTTTTGCAGTCCCCCGAAGTAGGAATTAGCTCTGTTCTAGATGCAGTACATGCGCCACCAGTGAGTCTGCCCTGCAGCCTTTCCTATCTTCTGTTTTGTGATATGTATCAATTGGCTCTCAATTTATTGGTTCATTTCTTTGATTTAATTTCCTGTTTGGTCAATGCTTACAATATTCTCGTAGAAGCTGAAGCACAAAACTCTTTGGAACTTGCTTTCTCTATGAAATTAGGCTAAAGTACTCGTATAGTCGATGGATTCCCCCATTTTGTATTTTAAATGAAGAATAATGCTCCTGCAGAAGAAGTTCTGCTATTTCACCACAGATAATGAGATTGACAAATCATGTGGATTGTGAAATATCTGATCAATAAAAAGTTAAAGACTCATAAAAAATAAAAATAAAATAAAAGAGTTCAGGTAGCGTTGCAAGAGGGTGGCATATTGTCATATTGGAAGCACGTATCTATTGAGGGGAGTTCTGCACCCATACTGAATAGTACTATGTTCTAGATTAATTGGTTTCCAGAAACTAACTGGGTTGTGTTTTCCTTTCATTCATATAACCACAGTTGATGCTGTCAAATATAGTAGGGAAAGCCTGACACAGGTCAACAACTGTCAAAATCCAAAATACCGGCCTGACGAGCTTACCAGTTAACATATAGTTAGGTAATTACTCTTTAAGTTCATTAGCTTCACGTTCTTAGTTTAACCATCCATGTCTGCGCCCAACTTAGCAGCTTGGTGAACCCATCCATGTCCACTTTCAGTCACCGAGGATCTAGTGATACCATCCACATCACTTTTAATCATCAAGTAGATGTGGAATCTCATCATACTTATGGATTAGCATCTCACTACCATAACAATGAGTAAACTATCCAAGTTTGCTCCCATTCGTCGTGCAGCTAAGGGACTTCCTTTATTATTTTCTTTTCATAATTTTTCAGTAAGTTGAATAATTCTATTAGTGTTGGGAAAGGCTCCCGTATGTGAGCAGTATACCAGAAGTAGGGAACCTTTGCTCAAATATGGTTTGTCTACCAAAGACACGGGATCTCATGGGTGGACCCAATAGAAATTAGATACAAGAGACTTCTCTTCAAAGATACGAAGTCATATTCAATCCCTTAAACTCTTTCCTTCCATACTAGCCCACATTAAGATTTAAATGGAAACCTCCCACACCCTTGATCTTCTCTTCCTGCTTTTAGATGTCCAACTTTGCAATGTCGCTGTTACTCTACCATGCATCACTAAAATGTTACTCTTCTAGTCAATGACTCAAGAAATTCGTTTTTGAGTTGTGAATTTCTCCCAATGATGTGTATATTTAGTTTCATGCATTCATGGTAAGGATCAAGTTTTGATAAAATAAGAAGTTAAAATAGCCAATGCCTTACTCACCTTATTAGCTGTTTGGATTGAATGGAGCTCAGTTCTCCCCTTCATAATATGTGTCCTTGCTATTTGGAAAGTGTTTTTGGGTAAAATTTGGGAAGACCCGTATTAGTGCTTTCTTGATAATTGTTTAATTGTTTGCACTAGCGTTGCTATAGAGATCATGTTATATTCTTGACACTGTAGGGCAACCACTACAATGGTCACTCTAGCACTATAACAATCTTATTGAATTTTGTCAGCACGTTTACACAGTACACTACTGCCTCATCTAAGTCCTTACCCCCTCTGTGCACAGTGTAGTGATTGACTCATGCTATAGCAATCCAGTACAATTCCTTGATCCCTCTAGCAATCAAGTAGCCCTGTGCTACTGTCCAGGGTTATAGCCCAATATATGGTGCACATGTACCATGATTTTACTGTCAAACTAGGTATTGTGCACATATTTTCTAGAATTGATCTAATATTATCTACTGACACTAATGCACCTAAAAAGGCTTAATAGTGCACTAGGTTGAATGCTGAGTTATTTACCTAGAGGAACAGGGATCAATTGCCACAGTAGTTTCTTTTATCTCTATTTTTGGTGGTGCACCCAAAATACAAAAATTCTAACTGTTGCATGCTATAAGGTGCTTATATTATTTTGCCTAATTCCGTATATACTGACCAATTGCAACCAATATCATCTTTCACAAGTCCATAGCTCATAGTTTCCCCTTACAATCAATGTTGAACACACTGCTAAATCCTATCAAACCTGAAATGGTGATATATGTTCTCATGCCATGTAATAAATAAGCCACAGAAGCAAGTACATTCACAAGATAGGGTATTACAACAGTTTACTTTTATGAGTTGCATATTGTTTACGAGATAAATGCAACTGGAACACATCGATATCGTCCTTTTTACATATTGCCTATGAGACTTCCTTAACCATTCTGTAGTGACATATTTATGCCGTCTCTCTTCAGCCGATGTCCATACTAATTTGCCTCTCTCTCTTCATCTTTTCTCTGAATCTATCCACAGATTTTAGGATCTTGATTTCAGCATACATCACAGAGGAGGGTGACCGAACATCTTATAATTGCTATTCTCATTAGCTGCTTTATGATTCAGTTATTGGAACATTTGCGCTATTGCTACTACTTCTTCTATTTCATCTTGAACTGTGATAAAATGTTCTTGAACTTTGATGACTGTACCAGGAAACCTCGGGAGTATACTTCTTTGGAGGAAATGGTAGAACTCTAAGATCTTCTGGGCTTTCTTATAACTCCAAACTCGCAAAGGATCTCTGGGATGCTTCATCTCAAATTTTCCTTGAGCGTCAGCTTACTTCCCAGGATACAACTGACCAGAGACAATTTTAGACCTGGTAATGCTCCTCCAAGTATGCATGAAGCATGAACTTAAGTTTTGATTTAAGAAACTATAAATATCTTTATACATTTTGGAAGAGGTTCTAGTTAGTATCTTAATTTGTAAGTTACTACTATTAAAGTAAGGCTAGTATTCAGCTATTATTAATTTTAGTATCATATATAAATGAATAGTTTGCCATGCACATGATTTGATTTCCCCTTAATAGTTTGAACTGTAAGGAGTAAATTAGTCTTAATGGAAACAATATTGAGTCCATGCTCCAAACACAATGATTATCGCTCTAAATTCAGCAGCATTGTTGTTGCGATGTCGTGAATAAGGGCCATACTTAAGTTGTCAAGATGATCTCTTAGCAGGCAAGTACTTACTGGGTTCCATTTGTTTGTTGCAACTAGCTATAAGCTTTAGCTCATCCATGGTAGGGTTTGGTCCATCTTACCAAACTTAATATCGAGTCTTGATCTCATCTTATCTCGAATAGAGCAAATATAAGTGATAGGAACATTAAAAAAAATATATTTAGCTATGAGGAGACTGACTCAATTAGTAATTCTTCTAATTGTGATCCTAACATTATTGCCATTTGCTAAAGAAATTCCAAGAGCTTCATGTAAATAGGTCTTATAATTCAGATTTAATCGCGGAGCTCGACTTTTCTCTGTTTAGTTATTATTCATTTGTTTTCTAAACCAAAATAGCTAGTTTTGTTACTAGAAGCTGACATGAATTTGTTTTTATTTAAGAGATCAAGAATTTGAAGAGTAATGGTGTTCTTGAAGAGAGTTTAGGGATGTTGTCATTTGTACAGAAAAATACAATTCAATTTTCTGTCATTTTAGAAGATGTAGAGATTGTCACATAATTTAGATGTTTTCGTTCTTTTATAATTATCTAATTTTATACGAGTATCATAGAAAGCTTTTCAATGTTGATAAAGCTCATATTCCTTCATTTAGAGTCAGAGTCCATCCATGGAGATTCTGATGTTCAATAAGCTATAAACGTAGTGGATTGATAGATATTTCTCATTCGTAATTATAATTTTTAAGTCTGAACCTCTATATATGGATATCGAACACGTAAAAACGAAAGAAGAATGATGTATTTCTGTGTGCACGCGTGATTGGAAGCAGGTTAAAAATGATGTTTTTGTTTGGTAGTAGTCAAATATCTGAAGTAGACAGAGATTTATTATAAGGTTTTTTCAGTGGAGATACTTCAAGGTCGAGATGTTAATTTAGGACAAGAAGTTGAAAATATATTGTTTTTTTATGATAATGGAGGGGACAAGGTTATGATTTTTTTCTACAATATATTTTTTTTTTTATGATTTTTTAAATTAAGAGTGGAAATCACGCTCAGATTTGTGGCCACAAAATGGAGGACAAAAAAAAATAAATTAAAACGATAACTATGTTTTAGTCCAAAACAAGTTAAGTTTGATTGTATGAATTTGATCTATATTTTTATATAACAAGTGTCGTTTAAGAGGAGATTTATTCTCTTAATATAGTTTTTAGAATATATTTTTTATATTAATATTATATCATATGTAGGCTAATAGGCCAAATCATAATTTTATGTGTCGTCTGATTCATCACTTCCATTTGTAATTATAAACTCTTGAATGTTGTCACGATTATTTCGATCCTAACAATTTGGTATAAACAGATAGAATTTTCTCATGAATTGTAATATCACATGAAATTAATTATTTTATTATATATATGAAACAATTATCCCATTATTATAATATAATTGTAATAAAATAAACAATTTCGAAACTAACTAATAATTCAAATATCATCATAATTTAAACCAATAATTTATAAATAATCCAAAAAATAATTTTAACAATAATTCATCAAAGGCAAAGACACATACATACAAAAAGTAAATAAGGGCCCCCTTGTAATTGGCTAACATGTGTTCACATAAATCTTGGGGTGATTTCTACCAATACAATTATTTTGTATCGTTATTTAATTTTTGATTTCGTTAAAATAAGTTGTGTAAAAATAAATTTCAAATAAAGAGTTCGAGCTTAATTATCAAAAGAATTATATGGCTAACTAATTACGAATCTTATTAGGACTTTAATACAAAATATTATAACGAATCATTAATATTTTTGGATGGATGAACTTACCACAAGTTTTAGTGAATTTACTAAAGTAGGTGAATATCATGTAGTAACACTAAACAAATTATTTAGAAATTATATAGTGAACTATATTATGATTTTTTTATTTTTATTCGATGTTTATGTTCGAGTTTAATTATTTTGCATTGGAACAAATTGTTCACCATCTCTGTCTTATCACCATAAACTTCAAAGAGATTTCACCAATACATTTTTATTTCAAATTTGTTTTAAGTCTAAGTATCACAATCAAATATTTTAATATCGATTTAATTTTAAAAAATTCAAATTATTCAATTCAACTCTAACTTTCAAATATCAACTGAACTTACTTTCTCTACTTGAAAAAATAAATCTCAACAAAAATTTAATAACAATCTTTTCAAATATATTCAATCAAATAAGTTACGAGTCTTCAATACTTCAAAATTTATCTCGAGATTTTTTTTCACTTTTCTTTCTCAATCTCGACCATATTTGCGTTCTCCGAATGCTATTTAAAAAAAATGAGAAAGAAGTAAATTAATTAATTTATAAACTAAAATTGATCGGTTAATACTTGTAATTAAAAAATTTTAAATAGTAATTAAAAAAGTGAATATAAAGGTTGTAATAATATTAATCCTTACATATATATATATATATAATATACTGAGTGATTTTTTCTTAAATTATTTATATTTGTATAATTATGTTAGAAGTTTTATTTTCTATGAGTTTTCTTAATCATATTTTTAAAAATATTATTTTAATTTTTAAAATTTGATATATAGTAATCATAATTAAAAAATAAAATAAATTAGGCGATAAAGAAATTGTACTTTGGTGTGAGTTAAGTGAATTGCACTATAACCTGTAATTTTTAACTCATTTCGATCCAAGCTATCTCAGTATAAATACGCGTTGAACGAAACTCGAGTTATAACTTTCTCATTTTTTACTAAACTTATATCAACTCGATTTATCCATTAAAAGGTGAGGTTTGCTCAAATTATGAATACCTCCATCATCAACCGATAGATTTTGAGTTATTTGAAAATTCAAACAAATTATTTTTACCCACATAAAAAATAATAATTATCGAAAATAAATAGGAAAAATTATATGGAATGGCAAACATTCCTAAGTAATTATATAATAGGGGTATAGTTTAATTTATTTACTTTCTATAATTACAGTTTTTTTTTTTGCTATAATTAATGGGGTCCACCACCTATTATATAATCAATAGTATAAAAATCTTTTTTTTTTAATTTTGTATATAATTTTACACAAAACAATATTATCTCTCCTATTTGAATTTCAAATTGTCCAAAATTCAATTACTCCCTCCCGAAGTTGAATTCTTCGTAGGTACTCCTAAATTTTAGTCGTTTTCCTTTTTTTTCCTTATTCAACAATTGTATATGTATTGTGTTTCTTATGGTTTTTCATTTTTTTTGATGAAATAATCGATTATTTGTTCTTATTAGATCTCAAATTAGTCACAATATGAATGAATCATCTTCATCTATGAGGATTATCAGAGGTATTCCATTGCATGTCAATTTTGTTGACAATTTACCATCGTTTTCAATAGGTTTAACTCAAGATTTTGGGGTTGATGTAGGGTCTATGGTAAAATCAAAACAAGTTCAACATGAACAAACAATAGAAGAATTTGAGATCAAAGAAAAAATATGACCCTACGGCAGTTCAAGAAGTTATTAACAATGCTAAAGCTAGAGGCATTAAAATTGTACAAGGAGGAAGAAAGAGGAAAGCAATAAACATTGATTCAGAGGAAAATGCATGTGAAGTTGACGAATCTGAAGAACATCATAATTATGAGGTAGTGACTTAAAACACAAATTTAGATACAATTTTTTGTTACTTAGATGTCAATATACAAAAAATTATTGTTTAAGTAAATTTTGTATTCACGTAATTGTATATAGTATATTACATGTTTAGTACACACATGTTTTAGTTATATATTTGTATATGTGTCTGTGGATTTGATTACTTTATACATACTTTAAGTTATGTATGATGAATAATATACTAAGTCTTAAAAGTGGTAGTAGCAGATTGTATATTAAAGGCTCATTATTATTTTTGTTTTTGTATATATATACAAAAAGTAATTGGACTTAGTTATACAATGGCAAAATTTCATTTATGATTATAATTTGTATATTTTATTAGTTATATACAAATTATTAAAGTTAGTATATATTAAGTTTATATACATATACAAAAATTGATCTGTCCATGACTGTTTTCAAAATTGACTGTTTTTTGTATACATATATACTAAGTTTTAATAGTGGTAGTAGCGGATTGTATATTAAAGGCTCATTATTATTTTTATTTTTGTATACACATATACACAAAGTAATTGGATTTAGTTATACAGATGGGAAAATTTCATATATGATTGTAATTTGTATATTTTATTATATACAAATTATTGAAGTTAGTATATATTAAGTTTATATATTATTGGAGTATATACAAAGTCATTTAGACAGTTGTATATATTGTCATGTTTAACTACTATATTCATGTACACATATTAACCATAATGCATAACCAAAATAGCTAATGAAGCCATTATCTGTACAATTATCAAAAAAAAAAAATATTTCAAATCATTCAAAGAGATCATATATATAATTAATACAACACTATTATACAATCAAATTACTAAATTGATTTTACACTGATATTCTTTTTAATATACAAATACTACATCAAAAAAAGTATATAATTGTATCAAAAGCAAAACACTTAATCTATGGCTATATACAATTATCACCAACAATTACTTGTATTCGCTTACACTGATCTTCTTTATAATATACAAATACTACATCAACAAAAAGTATATAATTGTATAGTACGAAATTTCTGCTTAAAATAATAATATTTTGAAACCAGTTTTCAAAACAAAAAAATTACGACACCATAATAACAAACGCACATAAATCAAAATTTGTAAATCCAATAAATCATTGTATAATTATTGCAATAATAAACATGAATTTTCATCCAATGAACACTTACCTGAATTCGATTACAAAGAAAAAATTAAAAAAAATTGATGAACTGCTGTTTCATAAACAACAAAAAACAAGTT